TCACAAATACTCAGTCCCTAATATCCATTCTCCTGTTGATGGACATCTGAGCTGTCTGCCAAGTTCAGGTGATTCCAAGTAGAGCTGCTGTGAACATTCCCTAAATCGCAGAAATCTTGAGCCCATTATTCAGATGGGAAGCCAGAGGCCAGGGAAAGGAAGAGGGACTGCCCGGTGCAGGCCCAGAGGCAGGACTTCTGACCCCCCAGCCTGGGGCCACTCTGCCAGGTCCACCCCATACACAGCGCCAGACCACGCCTCTCCTCTCCTCCCACCCCCAGCCCAGAGCCCTCCCAGCCGGGACCCAGAGTCTGGCTGGGAACTAGGCCAGGCCCTGAGCAGGGGGTAGTGAGCAGGAGTTTCGGTCAGAGCGCGGTCATCTTTGATGTTGTTCACTCGGCTCTGACTCCCTGGTATTTATTTGCAATTAAGGAGCTGGTTCCTAATTAGGTTGATGGCGGGACCACAGCCTTGCATCCACGAGGAGAAAAAGATCTTCTGCAGAAGACTGTCCCCTTGCGCCCGAGCGGCAGCCGGGCCGAGGATGAAGAGCACTGCCGTGGAGTGGGGCTCTGCCACTGTGGGGAGGGCAGAATTTGGGGGACTGGCCTTCTCACTCGCAGAGAGCTGGTCAGCTTGTGTCCGCCACAGTGCATGAGACCCGAATCCGTGTGTGTGTGTGTGTGTGTGTGTGTGTAAACAGCCACAGTGGCCCCTGACTTGGTTCTAGACATTCAGCCATGCCTTGCTCCATTCGTCATTCCTGTGCTAATAAGCCCCCCTCTTTAACCTCAACCTCAGGCTCCAGGCTAGAAGCTTACCCTTCCCATCAGTACAGTGCTATACAGTTAGTGAGGGGCACTGCCATCCACTGTCCTATCATAACCCCCCATGGTGGTGACCCTGGGTTGTGACCCCCGACAGCCCTAAGGGGCCCCAGCCTGTGAAGGGTTAGGGCCAGCACTGGAACCAGTAAAGAGACAGCTGCTTCTTTCTGCACCTGATTGATCTGCTGCTGGAGTTTCCAGAAAACCTCAAGATGAACTGCATAAATGAGGCACTGGATCAGGAATAAGTCCATTTTACAAGTGGGCAGACTGAGGCTTAGGGACACTTCAGTGGCTGGTGCATGGCCACACATTCCAGTCAGTGGCGAGAGCCTTAGGTCTGTCTCACTCTGAAACCCTTTGGCTCCTGGGACAGGCATTAAATTAGAGTTCTAGGGTCCCAAATTCTGGTCCCAGTGCTGCTATCCGGCTGTTGTGTGTGCTTGGGTGAGTCCCACTGGACCCCTGGGGTGCCGTCCGTGGGCACAAGGACATTGGATTCAATTAGTGGTTCCCACAGGCCAGTCTCTGCACTGCATCTTCACTGGTCCACAATGAAAGAGATGAGAACATTTCTTATATTTAATCATGTTAACTTTTACATTTCTGATTTAGGTCCTACCTGTTTCATTAGTATCAAATTATATTTTCTTTTGTGCTAGTAGTAGTCGACGGTCTTGGGGTTTTCAATAAGTCTGTACATGACAAAATAAAACAGTAGTAACCCAGTACATTCACAGTCCCTCTGTTGAACAATTTATTGGTTTGCGAAAGCCCAAAGTGTTGGGGCTCCCTGGACAAGATGACATCAGTGGGTCCCTTAAGCTCTGGGGCCCCAAGACCCCAAAAGCTGGGTGGGGACAGGGAGACCCTGAACATGGTGATGGGCCCGCTTGCTGGCTTGCTTCTGGGAGACTTCAGACCTAAGTCCTTGCCCACCGTCCCTCGGGGTCCGAGACCCCCGGCCCTACCTGCTGGTCAGGATCCAATGGGAGCTGGGGGGGAGGGCACTGGGCTGACCCTTAGGATGAATTTTATTTCCTTCCTCCTTCCCTTTTAGCATGTTCTGAGAGCGCCCTGGGGATACATGCAGTTTCGGGACAGAGGTAAAGAGGATTGAGGCACACCCCTTCCTCCTGGAAAGTCTAGACCAGCCAGGGGCACTGACCAACAGCACAGACACCTGCTCAGGCATCAGGAGTGACTGCATTGAAGGCCGCAGGTGCATGGGAGGGGGAGATCAGAGAGGGCTTCTCAGAGGCAGCAGTCTATCTTCTGGAATTTGGAAGACTTGGCCAGGAGCCCAGCTGTGATGAAGTGTTACCCAGTCTGCTTAACCATAGAGGCTGCGGGAGGTGAGGCCTGGCCCAGGCAGTGTCCCTGAGCCAGACGGTTGGGGCAGGCTGGGCCCTAGGGCCCTAGGATAGCTCTGGGGTTCATCTCCCAAGCACAGGATCCAATCCCCATGAGGAATGCTGGAGCAAGGCTGGGACATGGGTACTGATGACGTGGGGGTAGATGATGAGGGGCATTTGGCTTGGCCGGGGTGGGAGGAGCTAAGAGGAGAGGGTCAGGAAGTATCCCCCTCAAAGGCCTTCAGTTCCATTACTCTCAACCCCCCTCCTCCCCTTCCTGCCCTCCCCCAGACTGCCAAAGTGCTTCTTTGCCTTTTATGATAGAGGGGCTCCACCCTGGGGCAGAGCTGCCACTTTATGACTGGGTGGCCCTCTGAGCCTTATCTGTAGAGCTGGGACAGTAGTAAGCCTCAGTGAAGCTGCAGTGCGCCCTTGGGGAGAGAAGGCCTTTCTTTGCGGGGGCGGGGGGGGTATGACTCACCGGCTTGTGGGTGAGCACCTCTAGGATTCAGACAGTGAGAGCAGTCTAGTTACACACAGCAACACTGAGTCTTAGGGAAGGAGAGGACTTGCACAGTGCGGGGGGCTTCAGTGGGGAGTCTACCTGGAGTGTGGAGGAGAGCCCCCCACCACTCCAGAGAGTGGCCTGGCACTCCCTCGTGTATACCCTCCACCAGCTCATGGCACCTCCCCGGGCCTCAGTTTTCTCACCTGTGAAAGGGGCTGGTAACAGAAGTGATCCAAGGCTGTTGGGAGGAAGGGGACACGTGTTGCCTCTCCTGTCCCTCAACCTTCTCCAGGCACAGATGTTTGCTTCCCTACCTCTCTGTTTCTAGTGCACTAAAGGAACTTTCATGGCTCATGAGAAGACTGGTACTGGGGTTTCGCGGCCAGGCTGGGATGGCACTGCTTTGCTTCCTCTTGGAAATTTCCAGAGCTGTACCGGATGGATGGATGGATGGATGGATGGATGGATGGAGGGAGAGAGGGGCGGTGGCTTGCAGTGTACCTGGCTGCCCACCTGCTGGGACCGGCCTAGTTGTCAGCAGCCTGGTCGCCCACCCCACGCCAGAGTTGTTTCTCTACCTGTTGGCCAAGGGGCAAGTCAGCTGAGGGCAAGGACCAGTGTCTTTCCTCCCCTCCTCCATCCCCCCACTGGCCAGAACCAGAAGGAGCCTGCCTGGAGGGGACTATGAGGCAAAATAATACATTCTCAGGGAGTGGCCTGGGGACCTGTGTCTGGGACCTCGACACCCGGCCGAGGGTGAGGGGCATGCCCTTTGGGGCTCTGCCCAGTCCAAGGCCTCAGCAGAGCTGGCAGCCTACAGGAGGCCCTTCGAGGAGACAGTTTCCTGCTAGGTGGCTAGGTGGGCCTGCTGGGGCATAGGAGGATCTGAGGGGCCCTGTCACCCCGCTGCTCTAGGGCTTCTAGGCGGGGCTGGGCTGAAGGCAGACAGTTGACCTCGCCCAGGCTCCTGAATGAGGTTGTTAGCCGTGTTTTCTTCCTGGGGTTTGGTTGGACTTTGATCTTGGAGAAGCTACGCCATAGAGTGCCTTGCTGTGCTCCCATCATAGTCTCGGGGGAACCTCTCCCTCTGAGTATGAGCCCCATCCAAGGGCTGTGTGGGAACATGTCCCCTCACGGGGTAGACCACCTGCTTCTCAGAGCTGACCTCAAAGGAAGGGCCAGATGTGCAAAAGCTTCAGAATCTGAGAAGCTGCCCATACACGACAGCAGCAAAGAGGGGGTTGCCCGCTGTCCTTGAGGGGCAGTCCCTCTGACAGGTCCTGGCCTCTGTGTGGCCTTCGGTCTGGTGTCAGAAAATCGTTCATCCAGACATGCACACATGCCTCAAGCTGGAGGGGAAAGGGATTCCTGTTATCCAGGCCACCCTTTTGCTGTCCATGGGGAAACTGAGGGCCAGAGAGGGGCAGCACACACCTTTGAGAGCTGGTGATCTCTGGAGCCCTGGCTTTAACAATTTAACAATCAAAGCAATTTAACAATTGCTTTAACAAAAGCAACTTTGCTTTAACATTCAGAGACCCTCAGCTTCCCAATGTGGCAGAAAGGGCTGCAGTTTGGGTGAAAATCTGTACTTTGTGCCAAGAGAGACTGGGAAACTAGGCATCTTGCTCAAGGCCAAAACTGGGAAGGAGTTCTGGGGGCCAACTCCCCCACCCCACCATGTCTTCCTGTGCCCGAGTCCCCTTTCGAGTGGTGATGTATGCCCCCCAATAACTTAATCCCACTCTGTTCAGGTTGAGGCTTGGGCAGGCAGGGCTCAGACCGTGTGTGGCCTTTGGCAGGCTGCTGGGGTCTGCCAAGTCTTGGATCCTCTTGTGTAAGGTGAGGAGAAGGTGGCCTCGACCCGGAGTGATGGGAGGACCCAGTGAGTCAGGTGTAGCCAGAAGTGCAGTGTGCAGCCCTTCCTTTGGGCGTGTGTGTGTGGGAGGGGGGCGGTTATCCCTCTCCTGCTAACTTGAGCTTGGAAAATTCTACGGGCAGGAACCGGGTGCGGTTCCTGTCTGCGTACCCGCAGCCGGAGCACACAGCAGGTGACTTGCCGTCTCCGTGGGCTCCTAAACTTGGGTGCCCCCCTCGGCGGGTGTGTTAGGGGTCTGTTCTCCCACGAGTTACGGTTCAGGAGGACTACCCGGCAGGCGGTGGCGCTGCCCTCAGGTGTGCTGAGCACTGGAAACCCCACCGTACTTTATATGAAAAACCCAAGCCACCTGGCCTGGGGAAAGGGCGCCCCTGTGCCCCCCCTCTGCCGCCCACTTACCCCTCTCCCCATGCCTTGTGCTTGCCCCGCAGACGCCAGCATGTCTCCGGATGCCGCCAAGCCGAGCCACTGGTGCAGCGTGGCCTACTGGGAGCACCGGACCCGCGTGGGCCGCCTCTACGCGGTGTACGAGCAGGCCGTGAGCATCTTCTACGACCTACCTCAGGGCAGCGGCTTCTGCCTGGGCCAGCTCAACCTGGAGCAGCGCAGCGAGTCGGTGCGGCGCACGCGCAGCAAGATCGGCTTCGGCATCCTGCTCAGCAAGGAGCCCGACGGCGTGTGGGCCTACAACCGCGCGGAGCACCCCATCTTCGTCAACTCGCCCACGCTCGACGCGCCCGGCGGCCGCGCCCTCGTCGTGCGCAAGGTGCCGCCCGGCTACTCCATCAAGGTGTTCGACTTCGAGCGCTCGGGCCTGCTCCAGCACGGGCCCGAGCCCGATGCCGCCGACGGGCCCTACGACCCCAACAGCGTCCGCATCAGCTTCGCCAAGGGCTGGGGGCCCTGCTACTCAAGGCAGTTCATCACCTCCTGCCCGTGCTGGCTCGAGGTCCTCCTCAACAGCCACAGATAGCGGCGGCCCGCGCCCC